GAATTTACACTTCTATTGCCATGGCAAATTTTCCAAAGACCATAAGTGTCCCTAAAGACAAAAAATGCAACTCCACTTCTTTGAGATTCAAGAAATCATAGAAGATGAAATTTCAACCGAAGACCCAAAAAGAATGACAATATGGAAGAAGAGATACCCTTGTTTTCGTTATATGCTATTGAAGGAGTTGAAGTTGCCTCATCAATGAGGGTTGTGGGTCATTATGGCAAGGGACAACTTTAAATCCTCATTGACAATGGAAGCACACATGATTTCCTAGATCTAGAATTAGCGAGGAAGTTGGGGTGGCAGCCTAATGGTACTTATGAATCATGGGTTGAAGTTGCTGGTGGAGGGACTAAAGGTATATGGGATGTGGAAGGGTTTTAGAAGGAGTATGCAAGGCTTGCAATTCATCTTTGACTTCAAAATCTTGGAGCTACATTCTTATGACATGATTTTAGGGTTACATTGGTTGAAAAGCATTAAAAATGCCTTTTGGAATTATGAAACCCCAATGATGTTTTTTGGGTATGAGGGAAAGTTGTGCAAACTTCAAGCCGACATTCCTAATTAGTTACTAATGGTTCGACCAAAGCACCTAGAGATTGGACACTTAAGAAAATCAGGTTTATTTGTTGTCACTTACCACAAATCACAAGACAACTTGCAATGCTTCTTAGTTTAAACTTTTGAAGAAATTCTAGAAGTAACTGCAGGCACTTTGGATGATTTTTTAAATCTTTTTGAGGAGACTAAAGGGTTACCACCTCTTTGGGAAGGTCATAACCATCCAATTGTTCTACAATGAGCACAGATCCAATTAATTTGAAGCCTTACTAATACCTAGCAAACACAGAAAGATGTGATTGAGAAGTTAGTTGATGATCTTCTTAAAACAGGGGTTATACAAGAGAGTTCTTTCCCCTTTTCAGCTCCTATAGTTTTGGTGAAAAAGAAGGATGGCACTTGGAGGCTGTGCATTAATGATGGGGAGTTGAATAAAAAGACTATTAAGAATCAATACCCCATTCCATTAGTAAGGGATTTATTTGATGAATTAAGTTAGGCATGATGGTTCACAAAGATGGATTTGTGGGTTAGGTATCATCAAATTAGAATGGTGCCCGAAGATGTGCATAAGACTGCTTTTAAGTCTCATAGTGGGCACTATTAGTGGTTAATTATATCTTTTGGCTTAACTAATGCCCCGATAACTTTTCAAGGGACTATAAACAACACTCTAGACCATTTTTAAGGAGGTTTGTTTTAGTATTTTTTGATGATATTTTAGTTTATAGTGCTACATTGTTGACCATGTGCAGCACTTTAAGCAAGTTTTCTCTATTTTAAGAGAACCATTATTTTGTACAGAAAAGCAAATGTTCCTTCACTGCCACTGAAATAGAATACTTGGGGCATTTAATTGCAAGAGGCAAAGTCAGAATCGATCTTGAGAAGATACATGCAGTAGTTGATTGGCCTGAACCACAATATTGAACAAGGGCATTCTTGGGTCTAGCAGGCTATTGCAGGTGCTTCATCAAAAGTTAAAGGGTTTGAATGGTCAATCAGCTATTGCTTTGATGATACCTAAGCAGCTATTGAAGCATTCAACAAACTCAAAGGAGTTCTGATTTCTGCACTTGTACTCACACTTCCAGATTTTTCAAAACAATTTATAGTAAGGGCATATACTTGTGGAGTGGGTTTGGGGCTGTTATAATGCAAGAAGGCCAACCATTCGCTTATTTTAGCAAGGAATTGGCTGAAAGGCATCAAAAGCTCTCAATCTATGAAAAGGAATTGATGACAATGGTGCTGGTAGTGATTCATTGGCATCGATACTTGGAAAGGCGGAGATTTATAATTAGTTCCGACTAGCAAAGTTTGCAGTATTTGCTTGGACAGAAGTTAAAGACATCTTTTCATATGTTTTGGATTGCTAAATTGGCAGGATTTGATTATGAAATTCAATACAAAAGGGGCATGGAAATTCTACAGCTGATGCTGTTTCTTGAATGCCAAAGCAACAATTGATGCAGATTGTTTTAGATACTTCTTCCCTAGAGATGCTTGAAAAAGTCAAAGGTAGTTGGCAAAGTGATGCCGTAATTGCAGAAATACAGAAGAAGGTTCAAGAGAATAATGGAGTTTGGGCCCATTTTTAATAGATGGAAGCTTATTAAAAAGGAAGGGGAAGTTGGTTATATGGAATAATTCTACTTTAAGGCAACAAATTTTGGAATGGCTCCATTCTAGTCCACAAGGGGGCCATTTAGGAACTCAAGCAACCTATCGCAGAATTAAAGCTTTATTTTGGTGGAAAAAGTTGATCATGATGTGACAGACTTTATGGAGCATTGTGACATGTGTGCCAGATGCAAGTATGAAGCTGTTGCCCCTCCTGGACTGTTAGTACCTCTTTCAATTCCAAACAGAATTTGGAAGAGTATTACTATGGATTTTATTGAAGGACTTACTAAATCTCATGGTAAGGACACGATTTGGGTTTTGGTAGATAGAATGAGTAAGTATGCACATTTTATCCGTCTTACTCATCCCTATTTAGCATCTTCGTTAGCACAAGTTTTTATGGATCGTGTTTATAAGTTACATGGTGCACCTGCTGAGATTATAAGTGACTGTGACCCAATTTTTGTGAGTGCTTTTAGAAGGAATTCTTGCAAATTTTAGGTGTTCAATAGCATCTTTCTATAGCCTATCATCTTCAAATGGATAGACAATCAGAAGTTCTTAACAGGTGCTTAGAAACCTATTTAAGGTGCATGTGTTGGGAGAAACCTAAGGAATGGAGTAAGTGGTTGTCACAAGCTAAGAGGTGGTACAACACCACCTTTCATACAACAACAAAGGCTACTTCATATGAAATTTTATATGGTTAGGCTCTTCCTATCCATTGTCCTTATTTACCTCACAATTTTGTTTTAGATGTGTTGGATAGATCCTTCACAGTAAGGGAAGAAATGTTGAAGGTTTTAAAGCATCGTCTGCATCAGGCTGCAAATATGATGAAGCAAAAAGCTGATGCTCATAGGACTGACCGTGAGTTCATGGTGGGACAATGGGTCTTTCTTAAGCTACAACCCTATAGACAACTATTTGCTGCAAGGAGTTCTCAAAAATTAGCACCTCTATTTTTTGGTTCCCTACAAGGTACTAGAAAATATAAGGGCGATTGCGTATAAGCTTGAACTACCACTAGAATTCAAAATACACCCTACATTTTATGTATCTTTGTTAAAGTTATGCCCTAATCCTAAAGTAAAACAAAGACACCCATCATTGGATTGGCCATAATTTCCATCAGTTACAGAACCTGAAAGCATTAAGTAGAAACGTGTTGGCAGGAAGAGAGGGAGAATTATAGCTGAAGTCTTGGTAAAATTGAAACTATTACTTGATGAAGAAGCATCATGGATGCCCTTACATCAACTTCAGTAGAAATTTCCAGTTTATTGTAAATGATCCTTGAGGGGAATGATGTTTTGAAGGGGGCTGTTGTTATGATTTTATAATTCTGACATTACTTAGTTATATTGTCAAGGGAATATAGCTGTTAGGTATTATTTCTTTGTATTAGTTCCCTACAAAAACCTTACAATTCAATTGTAACTCTATGTTGTGACAGATCAATAATACTCGTGCACTATTTAGTATCTCTTATCTTCTATTCTCTAATCTCTCTCAATTTCTTTGTTCCTCTATCTCTTTGTTCTTCTCTCTCAATCTTCTTCCTTCTCTATACTTCTCTATCTCCAAAAATTACAAACCTACATCAGCGAGTGTTTCATTGAGAGGGATTATGACAGATAATGGGTGTTAAGGAAATAATTTTATGATTTAATTCTGTCCATATTTAGTGTTCATATTGTAGCTATACTATGATCAATAGAATATACCAATTTTTGGCCATGGTTTGTTGCTCATGGGAAGTGTGGGAAAGTGCCTCCACCTTTGCAAATCCTTAGATGATTTGAAACAAAGTTCTCATGCTTGGTTTTGACAGATTCAGTGATATAGTTTTGAAGTTTGGGAAGAAAAAAAGTGTGATCATTTAGTGTTCTATAAACAACTAGGTGCTAACATAGTCCTACTTGTGTATGTTGATGATATTGTGATGAAAGGGAATGATACCTTGAGAATTTTATCAGTCAACATTTCCTCATTCTTAGTTTTAGATAAAAAGACTTGGCGCCATTGAAATGCTTCATGAGAGTTGAAGTAAGAATGCTATTATGTCAAAGGACGTATATTCTTGATGGGTAGATAGAAATGGAAAGTTGGGAGTTAAACTGTGTATACTATGATTTCATGTTTTTTTTAATAATCCCTATTACTTCTAATTTAAACCTTGCTAAGGGTGATGGTAAGCCATTTGAATAGTGTAGAGGACTAGTTGGGACTTGGGAAATAGAGGTACCTCATCATGACCGTATTGACATTGCATTCTCCATCCTTGCGTATTTGTTTGCCTCTATGGAGCATGTGCTTTGATCCTCTAGAATTCTTAATTTTAATGTTCTTGTGGGGTTTGGAAAGACAGGAGAGGAAAGATGAGTGGGGTAAAATGTAGGAGTGGGCCCCATACGTACTTCTACTCTGTCATTTTTTTCCATACTCCACAAATGCTTTACAATAAAAAAACTCTAGATGATAACATAAATACTTCAATTGGGGAACAGTGTCTGTCCTACAGGCATTGGGAATTTATGTTGAAAATCATGCAGCATTAAAAATGAAAAACATTTAGACATTTTAGAATTTCCTGGGTTGCCAATTTTAGTTCCATGTTCATGCTTATTCCTAGATACTCTGATAATTAATGAGTGAGTTTTGAGAAATTTAATGCTGATGTCCTTGGTATTTGACACCTTTAATTGTTGCATATGCATTCGGCCAATCATCATCTTTTCCTTGAGCCTTCTGATTGATTTGACTTCAGTCTGAAATATGATTAAATTATTCTTTGTTCTCAGATCTGGGATTGCCACAGCACCGTCTTGAAGGGGATGATTATCTTGCGGTTATAGATGAATTCATGCAAGCTGTCTTTACTCGTTGGCCACATGTTATTGTGCAGGTTTATTTTTGTTGCAATGCTGACATTCTAAGGAGAAAACAAGAGTAGCTTCTTGGAACGTCAGTTATATGTCCTGGGCACGTTTTTTGCATTTTTAAGTTTTTTTTTCTAAATTAGTCTTGACATCTTTTTAATTATAGCAATTTTAAATTTTAGTTTCTTGTACTAACACAGTTCGAAGATTTCCAAAGCAAGTGGGCATTTAAGTTATTGCAGAGGTATAGAAGTACCTACAGGATGTTCAATGATGATGTGCAGGTATAGATTTCTTTTATTTAATGACATATCATCTCCATCATTTTTTAGGGTACTATTATGACAACCTGGACCTTCAGATCAGAGCTCTTAGTATTGTGGTAGTTATCTATACCAATTTGTGTTTACGACTGTTTGGTGCCATGTTTCCAATTCGAGGTGATGTGTGGAAGTATTAAGAATTTATTTCTTATTGATGTAAACCAAAAGATGTAAATTTATGTTAGCTGTAGGGTCATTTTTGGATAATAGTTTTTTGCTCTTTGCCTATAAAAGTATACAAAAATAGGGGCCTCCTCACTTGTAAACATAAGAAAATTTATTTAAAAGAGAATACAAATTCTCTTAATCCATTCTGAGCAATTTACAATAATTGATTGTAGGTGAATTCATTGAATGCACTATGCTAGTATTTGTTCATTTGTGGAAGATCTTGTCACGTAAATTAGTATGGGATTAAACTCAGTTTAAAGTTGGAGATTTTTTTGAAACTTTTATCATAAATTACTTCCACCTGGCTTGATGTATATGGAATTCTCCTTACAGGGAACAGCTGGAGTTGCAATCGCTGGACTTCTTGGTGCTGTGAGAGCACAAGGAAGGCCTATGATTGACTTTCCAAAAATGAAGATTGTTGTTGCTGGTGCTGGAAGGTGAGTTTATCACATTAATATTTTATTATAAGCTAGAATTCTTGCATTTAATTCTGAAAACCTTCACATATTATAAGCTATAGGGTATCAGATGGTTTGTTTTAAAAATGAGAATATAGGAAGAGACAAGGTGGGAAGCACGGACATTGGCATGGAGATGGGACAAAAAGAAGAAGGTTAAGGGGCTGCATTATGTATTTTAAAGTGTTGTTGATGGAGGACAAAAAGATATTAAAGAAGATAAAAATTATTTGTAAATTAAAATTTACAAACAATTTAAAAAAATAGGATTTTAGAAAAAAGATTAGTAGTATTGTACTACTACTACAACAACAAGCTTTATCACTAGGTGGGGTCAGTAGGATTGTATGACACCATTGTACTCTATCAACTACCAAATTTTTGATATATTGTTATCTAAGAGGTATCGTTCAATAATTTCATTGAGTATTTTCTTTAGTTTTCTTCCATCTCTCTTCATAGGTTTCTAGATTACTTGCTCCACTCTTCTCACCGATGTCTCCCATGACCTTTATATAGGTGCTTTTCAATCACAAATAATTCTTGTATCCTTTCTCATCTTATATTTTATGTGTAACATCTCCATCAATTTCACCATCATTTTGAATAATTGCTGTCGAGTATTTGAACTTTGTCTCTTGTGGTATGATTTGATCTTCCAATCTAACTTCCAAATCACTACTCACTAGCCTCTTATTTGGAAGTTTGACCAACTCCCAAGTACCATTCTTGCCAAGTGCATCCATCTCCTCCTTGAGTGCCGATCTCCATTCAAGATATTTCATGGCCTCTTGGACATTCTTTGGAACTTCTTTGGCAGATACACATGCTGTGCAGGCTCTCAAGGTAGGAGATAATTTATCATAAGACACAAAATTGCTAATAGGATGCTTTGTAGTGCAAGATTTTGCACCTTTTCTCAAGGTTATAGGCCAACCTAGATCATTATTGTGAGGATTTGAGGGTAAGGACGATGATTGGCGTGATGTATAGGAATTTTGATGGGAAAGTTGTGCAATAAGAACTGATATAATCATATCTGATCCTAATCTGAAAACAGAATCAAATCAAAGATACACATAAAAGAAATAAAATAAAGAGTTAACGGGCAAAAACACCTTGGAAGTTTTCTCAAAGAAGCAATCAATATTCTTACTTTTTAAAAGGAGCAACGTGACCCCAGAAGTATTAGAAGCAGGGCAATGTTGCCCTTTTCAACCTCTCACTAACATTTGACTAACGGATATATAGCTAACAAATCTTTTGCATTGAATGAGACTCCACATGGCAACCTCACCCTTCACCATTTACTCTCTATCGCTCACCTTCCAAGTCTTCACCGCTCTCTTTTTGTTTCTTTTCTCCATTGCCATTCTTTCACTAGCATTGTCATCTTCTTGCTCCCTATACCCTTCCTTCTTTCACCTCACTACCGTTACTCTTCCTCCTTGTTTCTATCTGACCTCCTCCTTAAAGCCGTCTATGCATCCTCCTCCTAGATTAATTTGCCCTTTTGGTGATAGACCCTCCTAGAAAGTTCATTCCATTCATTTTCTTTCATTGAGGAAGAAACATCATTGAGAAACATGGGGAGACCTCAATGACAATGGTTTGCATGATTCTTGAGAAGGAATCCTTGGATTTGTCCGGATCTGAACAAACTAGGGAAAATTTAGAACCTTCCTGTCTTCTTCTTGAATAATGAACTTGTTCTGCCAAGGAATCGACGACAATCAACAATAGAATGAGTTCTGGATTTCTTTTGTTTATTCCTTCTATCTTGTCAAACCTGAATTGGAAGCGATTGTGAAGCATTTGTCTCGTTGGAGAAGATAGAAGAGAATGTGAGAAGTGTGTTTGCTGCCATGTGGTTTGCCACATCAGAGTTTTCATCCCTCTTTTGGTCAACCGTTAGTTAATCGTTCGTCAAAGGTTGGAAAAGGGCTACATTGTTCTACTTTTAACAAGCTCTTTTTAAAAGATAAGGGTATTGAGTGTTCTTTTGAGAAAACTTCCTTTTGCCCCTTAACCCTAAAATAAAATCTGATAAGACAAAATCAGAATCAGATAGGGTCTGATTCTGATTCTAAATTTTCAATAGGGACTAAGGATTTTATTTTGCATTTCAAAATGTAATCTTTTCATCTCTATGCAAGGGATAATCAATTTTAAATTTATTATTATTTTTAAAATTCTCTTTAGTTTTTCTTTCTTTCTTCCACACCTCCATTGTCGTCCTCAGTTTCCTTATTCTTTATGTGGATCTTTGTAGAGGATAATGTTTCTTATATATTCATGTATATGTACAAACAGATCCTATATATACATCAAGAGAGATAAAGTCTAATAAATAATAATAAAGCCTAATGAATGATATTAATAACTGCTAATTATTGACAATAATAACATAATATTCCCACACCTTCCTTCAAGTTAGTTCATAGATGCTAATCATGTCCAACTTGCTTATACAACTCTTAAAGGCAAGCTTAGGTAGCCCCTTGGTTAGCACATCCGTAGCTTATAACTTTGTAGGTAGGTATGTCAAGCATATACTACCTTCCTCTACTTTCTCTCTGATAAAATGTGTATTCACTTCAACATGTTTAGATCTCTCATGCTGTACAGATTCAATGCCATGCTTATGGCAGCCTTATTATCACAATACAACTTCATTGGTGGATCTACTCTGACTTGTATTTCTTCCGTAACCCTTCTTATCCAGAGTTCTTCTTTAATTCCTTGAGCTAATGCTCTCAATTCTGATTCAGCACTGCTTCTAGATACAACTCTTGCTTTTGACTTTTCCAAGTCACTTAGTTTCCCTACACTAACGAGCAATAGCCAAAGGTGGATCTCCTGTCTCCATAGGTCCTCCCCAATCTGCATCTATATAGATCTCAATTGTCCTTTGATCATGCTTCTTAAACAGCAATCCCTTACCAGGTGTACCTTTAAGGTATCTAAGAATCTTGTATACAGCTTCCAGGTGTTTCTTCCTTGGATCACACGTGTATTGACTCGTTACATTGACTGCAAAAGCAATATTTGGCCTTGTATGAGATAGATAAATCAATTTCCCAACCAGTCTTTGATATCTGTCTTTATCAATAGTTTCTTCTTTTTCCTTGCCCTCTTCTTCTTCAACCTCATCATGGAGTTGTCTTCTCCTTCTGACTCCTCCTCACTATTTTTCTTAGACTTCTTTCTCGGGACCGCAATAGGAATTTCCTCAGGTTTACAACCTAACATGCCAGTTTCCTTAAAAGATCAAGTACATACTTCTTTTGAGACACATATATGCCTTGTTTTGACTTTGCAACTTCCATCCCGAAAAATATTTCAAGTTTCCAAGATCCTTGACTTCAAATTCTTTACTTAGGACAATCTTTTATCCTTGCTATTTCCTCAACATGATCTCTTGTAAGAATTATATCATCTACATATACAATGAGGATGCACTTCTTGGCTTTCTCAGTCTTAACAAACATCGTATGATCTGATAATCGTTATTTATAGTCTTTTGACTTCAAAACCTTTGAGAATCTATCAAACCATGCTCTAGGTGACTGTTTCAAGCCATATAGGGATTTCTTTTGCTGGCATACTTTGTCACTTTTGCCTTTATCAAACCTCGAAGGTAGAGTCATGTAGACTTCTTTTTTTAATTCTCCATTTAGAAAGGCATTCTTGATATCTAGTTGATGGAGTGACCATTCAAGATTAGCTGCTACTGATAATAGAATTCTAATAGTGTTTAGTTTTGCAATTGACGCAAACGTCTCTTTGTAGCCTATACTATATGTTTGGGTAAAACCTCTTGCTACTAACTGTGCCTTTAACTTGTCAAGTATGCTACCAGCCTCATACTTCGGGGTGAAGATCCACTTGCAACTAACCAATTTCTTACCTTTAGGTCTTTCAACAATCTCCCATGTTCCATTTTTCTCCAAAGCTCTCATTTCCTCCATAACTACATTTCTCCATTTTGGCATTCCCAGTGCCTCTTGGATGTTGTTAGGAATAACAACTTTATCCAAATTAGTGATGAAGGCCTAGTGACCCGGAGAGAGAGCCTTGTAGGATACATGCTTTTGAATCGGATGTAAAGTGCAAGAGCGAGGTGGTTTTCGGAGAGCAATAGGTAGATCAAGATCAACAGGTTCACTTCCTTGTTCTGAATCATTTGGCTCACTGGATGGATCTGTCTTTGGTACATCAACTCCAAGAACAATCTCTGGTTTTGACTCTCTTGGTGCCTCAGGTATGAATTGCTCACTATCTTTGGATTTCTTTTTTCGAGTGTAAACTAATAACGCTCCCTTTTGTGGTCTTTCTACATCTTCCTCTGCTTTATTGTTTTTCTCAAATTTTGGCATAAGAGAAGAGGTTGGTGTTGATGAGGGTGATGGCTGTGTTATAGGAGGTAGTGGCTCAAGAAATACATATTCTATGTTCGGTTTTAGTTTCCAAGTCTGAGATTCACCTATGTTCTCCCTCTGAAATGAAGAATTGGGATAGAATGGAGTAGTTTCACGAAAGGTGACATCAAGACTAACAAATGTGTGTTTTGTGATAGGGTCAAAACATTTGTACCCTTTCTGGGTAGGAGAATAGCCAAGGAATATGCACTTGGTGGCTTGAGATCTAAGTTTGGTACTTTGGTGGTTATGAACAATAGTTGTACAACCAAACACACGAAATGGAAGATTGGTTTCAATATGGGAGGTGGAAAAAAACTTTGCAACTTGTGGAGAGGGGTTTCAAAAGATAAGACCCGACTGGGCATGTGGTTGATAAAGTAAGTTGCGGTCAAAATGGCATTCCCCCAATAAAACTTAAGCACATTATAGGTCAACATGAGTGCTCTAGCAACGTCAAGAATATGGCAATTTTTCCTTTCTGCAACCCTATTTTGCTGGGATGTATGAGCACAAGAACTAGTATGCGCGATATTGTGCAATTGGATAAAGGTATTC